AGTTGGATGCTCAAATCTCTAACCAACTGCAATCACCTAGAGAAAATGCTCAGAATACAAACCATAACATGAGAACTCGATCCCAGCCACTGTCGTAACCGACGTTCATATCCTTTATACCGACCAGCTCGCGAAGACCTTGCTGAATGAGTTAACAAGTTCATTACGTTCCACATTTGACCCGTAACTTGGCAGAACAAGAGCACAGCCATAACATAATCAACCAAAAAATTTCTGTGCACTGTGCACTCTGATCGAATGGTCATAAATGCGTAGAAATAACTGAGCAGTTCATTGTTCATTTATGCGTCAATCATAGCTCATCGGAATAAAAGAAGATTTCGATTTAGTTATCATTAGAAGAAAGTAACGCTGTCGTTATGAGCATTTACCACACATAACTGCTTTGCACAAATGCTTTGAGATCAAATAAGAAGGTATGAGTTCAAAATGGAATCAAAAATGAACTTGATTGATTCGATTGCAAGCCATGTAGAGTCGAACATGCGATTCAGCCAAATACAATCGTTTCTGAATGTCTGCTATTCGGATCATGAGTGTTGGGCGGTTATCATGCTCATCCACTGGACCTACCACTGCTATTTGTGAGAAACGAATCTCCTGCAGTAAGAATAGCGCCTTAGAAAGTTTCGTTCTTACGTTATTACGATAGACTTTGAGTTGATTTGTCAGGGGAATGCATGTAATGTCAAATGAAAATCTCTCAACTGGTGATCAGCATGTGATTTTCATACGAACAATTGCTATTGAATGCTACACAAAGTTGGCTATGCGAAAGGAATGAAATGTAAGGGTTGGATGCGGTGTTTGGTGTTGAATAAAACGGAATCAATGTTGAGTGTTGATACGAGAATGATTCGATGAAATCAAGAATCAATGATTTACTTGACGTCTTTTTTTCGGCCGTAGCACTTTAGCAACAACGATACCAGCCAACATAGTTTGTAGAAGGACACCGATGACGAGTTGTACACACAGAACAAGAAATGCTGGCGGACACACCTCAGTCATATATCTTTAATATCACCACTTTTCGAGCGTTCAATTCTTCTTGTCTCATCTAATCTTGCATTCGAAAAGAGAAAGCTATCTCACAAAACAAGTGCCTCACTAATGATGTGTTGAAATGAAAACAATGTTTGAGGTGGACAAGCACATTTAAAAACTTACCGATAACCATACCCAATAGTATGCTGACTTTCGAGGCTGAAACGTTCTGCATTAGTTTAGCGCTATGCAACATTAATTATTAAGTTTTGCTGAAATTCTAGAAAAGGTAATGAGTCAACCTCGTATGAGTATAATATTATAAATGCAACCCCGTATGAGGACCCTAAACAGAAACATCAGCAAAATAGAAGTCTGAGGTCAACGATTTGAAACTGAGCCTATTCTCAAGCCTTACTTGAATGAATAAGGCTAAAATACACCTGCCTGAATTGCTACACGTCTACAAGATCTAAAGGTTGCACTGAAAGATATTTCAGACTTGTTTCTTCCAGAACTATGGCCATTATATAAAATTTCATGCAAGCAAGCCTTCCACTGCCTAAGGAATACTAACTGGAAGATTCGAGTAAACAATTCAGGAAAAAATTTCTACATTTTGTCCCAAATTTTGAGTAAATGTGATGACTAATACCTGAATAAAAAGGCGCTTACGATGCTGTGGACATTTGCTATGCACTGCTTATTCTCCTCGTTGTGCTGAAATTGTATTATTGCCTTGAAAGATCCATATAAAAACTATGAATTTAATCAATGCTGGTGCACTTGGATCATCAAAATCTCTGTGAACTGCGAACAAAGTATCCTCACTGATACATACGACTTAGAGATCGATAAGCCTTACAATAGCGAATGCCTTATTGATGCATGACATCCATCAATCCCAACTGGAAATTTAATAGCACGTAACAATTTGAAAAGTTGAATGGAGTGAATTCACCTGATTAGTTGCAATAGCAAAGTGTTTAAGACTGAATCAACGAATACTTCTATTATGCAAGAAAGCCATAAGCTCAACGATTAAATGTGAATAATTGGAGGCATTCAGTCAAGGCAATTTCATCTCTACCAGGGAGATTATATTATTGCGTCATACTTGAACAGATTAAAACATTCATTTGACTATTCGATGTTTTAGGTGGATTGGAAAACTGACTCAAACAATTTATGGCTCATGTTAATATCAATCAAGAAGAAGAAACGCAGGGAGGTGTGAAGTCATAAGCCCCTCTTGCGGACCACTTTCTCACTCACTGACTAATTGTGATATGAGTCAATCTTTACACATGTGATTTTGTTAGTTAATCGTTCAGATGATCCTCAATTAGAGATAGCTCCATAAGACTTTTTGTAGTGACATGTGCCAGTTCACGGTGTTAGATAGATTTGGCTGAACAGATGCATTTAAACAATTCATAACTAAGAAATTGGAAAGACGACAAGTTTTT